TGTCTTCGCGAGGTCAGTCGCCGCGGCCGCGTCCGCTATGCCTGCGAGTCGTCGACGCGCGCGGGGGGTGGGTGGGTGGGGGAGGTGGCGCGTGAGACGAGACGGGGGGATGGACGCGCGGGGACGGCGCGCGCGTCGATCGCGCGACGGACGGACGAGAGATTGAGATCCGCGTCGTCGCCGTGCCGAGTGTTGGGGACGACGACTCCGAGGGATCGCGCCGCGCGCGGCGGCGGCGCGCACCGTCGTACTGCACGGCGTTGCATATCCCGCTCCACGCGAGCCGGCGCTCCGCGAGCGAGCGCGACGCGACGCCCGCCCTGGCGTCGTCCATCGTGCGCGAGGGTTATGAGAGCGGACGCGCGATGCACCGCCGCCACCCTCGTGGTTCGACCGACAGCGACAGACCGCGCGCGGAGACGAGACGGCACGCGAGCGCGAGATCGAGGGTGGAAGGGAAGGGACGACGACGACGGAAGAGAAGAGGTTCCGCCGCCACGCGCCGACGGCGTATTAAAGAATCAACATCGAACGAATACGACTACTCTCGACGCGCGCGCGCGCCGACGTCCACCCGACGTCCCCCCCCCGCGCGCTACGCCACGCCGACCCCCCGCGGCGACCGGTGCCCTCCCCCGCGTTCCGCCGCCGAGAGCCCGCCGCCGCCGCCGCCGCCGCCGCCGCCGTCGCGCTCGAAGACGTCGCTCCTGCTCTCCTTCAGCTTCGCCCTCGCGCGGCGGCGCTCGTGAAACGTGACGTACGAGTACATCACCCCCCCCACGCTGTTCAGCGTGATCCCCACGACGTGCCACAGGCTAAACTTCACGCCGCCGAGGAGCACGAACCCGAGCGCGGTGCTCGCGACGCCCTTGAGCACGCCGACGACGGTGGTCGTCAGCGCCGAGTTTTTCATCGTACACAGAAACTGCGAGTAGTTGAGCAGCATCCCCATGCTCAGCGCGCCGACGAAGCACGTCACGAACCCGGCGCCCTCGCTCAGGGTCCCCAGCCGCGTCACCGCGCTCGCGAGCTCCCCGGTCGCGGACGTGAGCGCGAACACGATCGGCGTGGACAGCAACGCGTTGTACGCCAACAGCTCCGCGGAGCCGACGCCTCGCTCCGCGCCCGTGATCTCGACGACGATGAGGTACGTCGCCTGCAGGAGGCACGACGCCACGCCGCTGAGGTACCCGGCGAGGTCGAACGCGAGATCGCCCGCGCCCGCGACGATGCACCCGAGGACGACGAGCGATATCGAGCCCACGACGCCGCGCGAGGGGTCCGGCTTCTGAGGGCGCAGCGTCTTGTTCGCGAGGAGGACGACCGCGGGGGTGAGTCGCTTGAGCGTGTTGTACGTCGGCACGGACACCTTGGAGAGCGACGCGAGCGCGAACGCGACGTTGGCGTTGTATAGGATCGCCACCGGGGCGAGCTTCTTCGCGGTCGCGACGTTGATGCGCGGGAACGACACCTGGTTCGCCGCTCGGAGCGCGCCGAGGACGAGGACGGTGAGGCACATCTGCGCGAGGAGGAGGAAGTTGCTCTCGCGCATTCCGTACACGGTGAGGACAGCCTTGTTCACGAATCCCATGGAGACCGCGGTGACGCCGTACAGGAGCGCGGCCGCGGCGCCGGTCGCCGCGCTCGCGGGGCGGGGCGGTCGCGGCGACATCATCCGCGGCGCGGCCGCCGCCGCCGCCGAGTGGGCGGGCCGTTGAGGTTTTTCGGTTTTTCACCACGACACCTCACGAACTCTGTTGTTGACGATCGCGATCGGCAGATCCGACGTCGCGGGCTCGGCGCGCGGCTCGCCAAAGCCGGCGGCTTGATGGCGGCTTGACCAGACCGAAACGCGTTTTCATCGTGACTCGACTTGGCGGGTCCTGAAGCAGATATTTCCAAAGCCGCCGCGCGCAGCACGCACGGCACGTCCCGCCGTTCCCTTCCTTACACGTCATGTCACGCGCGGCCATAGCGGCGGCGACGTCCGTCCGCGCGATGCCGCGCGCGAACGCGCGCGAGCGCGGCGCGAACGCGCCGGTCGTCCGCGCGCGTAAAAGTTTTCCGATCGCGTCCACGTGGGATCGTAATAACAACGACCCGCTCGGATCTCGCGACGTGCGCGGATCTCGCGACGTGCGCGGCCGCGCGATGGCGATGCGCGGGGCGCGGAAAGAGTTCGAGTGGGTCGAAGGCGCGGACGGGTACGAGAAAGCGATGGCGGACAGCGAGAACGACCAGCTCGTCGTCGCGGTGTGGTCCGCGCGTTGGTGCAGGAAGTGCAAGTACTTGAAAGCGAAGCTCGAAAAGTTTTCCGTGTTTTTCCCTTCGCTGACGTTCAGCGTCTTGGATGTGAACGCGATGCCCGGGGAGGTAATCAAAGACGTGGACGTGACGCAGATGCCGACGATTCAGATTTACAGAAACCGGGAGATGCTGAAGGAGATCATCGGCGCGGACGAGAGCGACGCCGTCGTCGGGAAGCTGAGAAACTACTTGGAAGAGATCGGCATCGTCGGCGAGTGATGAATGAAATGAGCGATCGCGGTCGAGCCGGAGCGAGGGATTCAAACGCGAGCGAGCGCGGCGAGGGAAGAGAAAGGGGTTTGAGCGCGAGGGAGGACGAGACGAGGGATGCGCGCGCGCGTACGTCGTCGCCATCGACGAGCACGATAATACGATAGATGTTTTGAACCGATTGTACTTGTAATACCACGTAGGCTATCAATCAAGGCACTCGCGCGTCAAACTCCGGGAAAAGGCAACAGAAGCTGCTGTAAAAATCGCTCGCGCGCTTCAAAACCCGCACCGACACTTCGGGACGTGACCGATGTGCCGTCTCAACACCCCCGTGCACACGTCCCTGAGAACGTCCCACCCCGCGTCGCTGAGCACGCCGCCGCTGCCGCCGCCGTCGTCGTCGTCGCCGTCCACGGCGACCCTGAGGAGGATCACGTCGCCGCCGAAGCGCGTCTTGACGCCCGTCGCCGTCGCCGCCGCGGCGACCACCCCGGCGCCGCGCGAGTTCAACGCGCGAGCGAGCTCCAGGTTCATTCGGTTGAAGTCCACGCCGTGCGTCTTCTCGAGCTCGTTCACCGTGAATCCGTTCGATTCCGCGCCGGTGAGTCGAAAGTACGCGCAGTTTTTCATCGAAGCCTCGGAGGCGCACCAGGACGCGTCCGGATCGACGACCTCGAGGCGCGCGTCCGACGTGAGTCGCTCGCGCGCGGCGCGCAGCTTTTCCGCCGTCTTCGTCGCCGCCGCGGCGTCGTCCGCGTCGCCGCCGGTCGCTTCCAAATCCCTGAGCGTCGCGAGGCACGCCTCGGGGTCTAACCCCGGACCTATGAGCACTAACCGAGTCTCCCCCTGACGCTTCGCGGGCGCTCGCGAAAACCCGCCGCGCGCCCCGCCGTCGCCGTCGCCGTCGACGAGCTCGAGCTCGATCCGCCGCCGGCCGGAGAGGTGAAAGTCGTAGACGCACCCGGGCGCCTCCGCGAACTGCACGAACCCTTTCGCGCGGACGACCTCGCGCGGGATCTCCCTCGCGACCCAGCGTTGGAACCTCGCGAGCGACAGCGCGCCGCCTTCGAAGGACGCGGACCCGAACGCGGACGCGTCGGTCGCCGCCGCCGCCGCCGCCGCGTTTCGATTTCGATGCGACGTCCGCTTCGACGGGTCGATCACGAACGGCCCCGCGGTCGCGGTGGATCCTTCGCTCTTCTTACGCAGTCCGCCCCCCGTCGATGACAACAGGAACGGACGCGCGGCGCTGTCCCAGTCGTGCCCGATTTTCCCCTCCGGCTGCGGCGCGAGCTCGACGTCCAAAATCGACGGAAGCGACACTTTTCCGTCGACGCACTCCGTGACTTTCGCGTCCGGGGCCCACCTCCGCACGAACGCCCTCGCGGCCGCGAGCTTCTCGTCGTCGCCATCCAGGAGGTCGATCTTGTTAAGCAGGACGACGTCCGCGGCGGACAGCTGTCGCGCCCACGCCTCTTCCGGCTTTGCGCCGCCGCCGCCGTCGCCGCCGCCGTCGCCCGCGACCTCCCCCGACGCCGCGGACTCCGCGTCGACGACGCACACGACGGAGTCCAACCGCACGCGCGCGAGCTTCCCGAACGTCTTATCGAGCGCCGCGACCGTCTCCGTGGGGTCGACTAACCCGCTCGTCTCGATGAGAAGGTAGTCCACGCGGCCGGTCCCGTCGTCCTCGCGGTCGCGCGCGTCGTCGAGCATCCGCCACACCTGCGTCTCGAGCTCCCCGCCCAGGGTGCAGCACAGGCACCCGTTCGTGAGCTCGACGATTCCTTTGTTCTCCCCGCGCGCGCCGGTGTCCGACCTCGCGACGAGCTCCGCGTCGATGTTCAGCTCCGCGAAGTCGTTCACCGCGCACGCCACCTTCAGGTCTTGGCGATTCGCGAGGACGTGTCGCATCACCGTGGTCTTTCCGCTTCCGAGCCAGCCGGTGACGAGCGTCGTCGGGAGCCGCCGGCGCTCCGCGGGCGCGAACGCGGTCCTCGCCTCGTAATTTCGGAACAAGTTCACGGTCGCGGCTTCGCGGTCGACCGCCATCGCGTCCGAGGGTGGCGTCTCGCGAGGGGAAGCGGACGACGAGACGTAGACGACGAGCGGCGGGTGCCGTCCGCGTCCGGAGCGCACGCGCTCGCGCGGCGCGCGGCCTCGTCCGCGACGGCGCCGGGAGCGGGCGTCGGCGCGGGGATCCGAGCGCGGTGTCGGCGTCGTTCCGAGCCCCGACGCCGCTCGCAGCACGAGCATGTGCGACGCCGCGCGCGTCGACGAGTGCGAGGCGGGCGGATCTCGTGCGTGCATCTTCAGGTTTTTGCAGGGTTCGGGTTTCATCAGTTTGCGTTTGGTCCCGGCGACGATACCGCGCGAGAGAGCGGAACACCGCGGGAAGCGCGCTCGAGGGTCGCGACGCGAAGCTACGATTATCGCGTCACGTCAATCTATGATCACTCCCCGCCGCCGCCGCCGCCGCCGCCCTTCTTCCTCCGCTTTCTCCCCCCGTCCGCTCGTTTTCGCGCCGGCGTCTCGGGCTTCGGTTTCCCCTCGCCGCCGCCGCCGCCGCCACCCCGCGCGCGTTCGATCTTCCGCTTGTCGTTTCTCGGCGTCTGGCGCTCGTCGTCGCTGCTGTACACCTCCTTCGTCTTCTTCGCGCTTTTCATCGCGGGCGTCTTCGTCTTCTTCGCGGTGGGCGGCTCGTCGCCGTCGCCGTCGTCGTCTCCGCCCTCGCTCTCGGACGAGGACGAGGACGAAGACGAAGACGAGGAAGACGAAGAGGACGATGAGGACGAAGACGACGACGAGGAGGACGACGACGCTTCCTTCGCCGCCTCGCCACCGCGCTTCTTCCCCGTCGTCGGTTTCTTCTTCTCCACCACCACCTCCTCCCCCTCCTCGTCGTCGTCGTCGTCGTCGTCCTCGAGGAAGAAGTCGTCCTTCTCCGCGGCGGCGCCGCCCCCGCCAGCCTCGAGCTCCGCCGCCGCCGACGCGACGCCCTCGCCGCCCTCGTTCGCCTCCGCCAACGCCGCGTCCTTGACCATGTTCTCCTTGATGATCTGCCGCAAACGTCTGCGTTTCTTCTCCAAGTACTCCGCCGCCTCCGGGGTCTCGTCTTTGTTCTTCAAGACGCTCACGTACTTGTACCCTTTCGGAAAGTGCATCACGTAATGCAGATCTTCCTTGAGCTGCTTCAGCTCCTCCGCGACCGCGTCCGAGCGCGTCGCCGCGGGGTTATCCCTCTCGAGCTTCTCCATCGCTCTCGTGAGCTTCACGCGCTCGAAGAACTTCACCTTGTGGTATCTGACCGAGAGCTTCCTCTCGCGCTCCGCGCGCTTGTTCTCCTCCGCGATCGCGTCGAGGGCTTCGAGCTGTCGCGCTTTCTCCGCGCGCGCCTTCTCGGGGAGTCCCTCGCGCTTCAGAAGCCGCTGGATGCTTCGCATCTGATTCTTCGTCGACGGCTTCTTCTTCGTCACGGGGCCGCCGAACCTGCCGCCACCGCGGCCGCCGCCGCCTCGGCCGCCGCCGCCGCGGCCTCGGCCGCCGCCGCCGCCGCCTCGGCCTCCGCCTCCGCCGCCTCGGCCACCGCCGCCACCGCCGCCGAATCCGCGCCCGGACATGACGCCTCGACCCCGCGCGTCCGCCGCGACGACGCGCGCGCTCGCTCGGTACCCCGCGCGGAGTTCGAGACGATCCCGGGGAGGTTCCAGACCCCGTCCGCGCCGGTGGAAGTGACGACGCGCGCAGCGGAGGAGGTAACCGTCGGTCGTAAGGGAAACACTCGTAGCAGAAGAGCGCAGCGAGGCGATCAGATCGAACGAAGCCGCCGGTCGCCGGCTCGGTTTCGAGCCAGTCAGCGTTTTCCGTCGCCCGCTTTCAAGGTTCGCTTTCAAGGTTCGCTTTCACCGCTTTTCTCAGTTGTTGGGTCAAGGCATCATGTTGTCACGTTTTCGTCATGTTTCCCTTCGGGCTTCGACGATCTTCGCGCCCGCAGCGAGGCGCAGATCTGCGGGCGCGAGACGAGGACGATCGCGGTTGAACGGTCGAGAACGCCGACGTCGGACGTCGATCGCGTTCACGAGCGCGTTCATCACGAGTCGCCCCCCCCCCCGGCCGCGTCTCTGCGAAAATTCTCTGTGGAATCGTAATCGTGCGAAGCGCCGCACGCTTTTTCCCTCAAAAACCCGACACCGCCGGATCGGGGCTCGCGCGCGGCGCGCCACCCCGTGACGAACGATGAAGTTCCCCTCGATGGAAGACGATAATCTCATGCAGTCCGTCTCCGAGGTCGACGACTTCGTCCTCCAGGAGTTCCTCGCCGACGCCGCCGACTGGTCGGGAAGCGGGGCGCCCTCGAGCGTCTCGCCCGATTCGTTCGCGGGGACGAACGTCGCGGCCGCGCCGCCGCCCATGCCCGCGGGCTCGGGCGGCGGCCCCGCGGATACCGCGGAGCAGCGAAGAAAACGGCAGCGCGAGGCGAACCTCCAAGCGCAGAGAAGGTCGAGGGAGCGGCACAGGAAACACGTCTCGCATCTCGAGGCTGACGTCGTGGCTTTACGAGTCGAGCTGGACGCGAGCAAAGCGGAGAACGCTCGTCTGCAGACGGCGCTGCAGCAGAGTTTGCTCGGGCTCGAGGAGTGCCAGAAGCGATTTAGCGGGAGCCACCAGGCGCTGGGGGAGCTGTCGAAGGAGAAAGAAGCGACGAAGCAGAAGCTCGAGGAGACGTTGGAGAAGCTCAGGATTTGCGCGGGCGTGTGCGAGGATCTGAGAGGGCGGCTCCAGAACGGCGAGGCCGCGAAGATGGAGATCGTCAAGCGGGAACCCGGAGACTGCGCGCCGTGCGACGAATTGGAAGCGCGAATGAAGATCGAGATCGCGAACGGCGCGCCTCCGAGCGGGCAATCCCTGCAGGCGGACGCCAAGCGTTGGCTCTCCGTCGCGACCATCGCGAAGAAGACGTGCGAACGCGAAAAGACGTGTAAAAACCGCGAGGAAGTCATGGCCGGATTAAAGCGCGTCGGGCTTCGGCTCCAAGAAGCGTTCCGATCGTACTTGATCGACGGGAACGCGTGTAGCAACATCGGGGTGTTCGCGATCAAGCCCGTCAAGCCCGGAGAACCGAGCCCGTGCGCGGCGATGGCGGCGCGCGGGCCAGGGCAGGACGAGCGCGTGTTTCAACGCGCGAGGGAGATCGCGAGCGAGCTCGATCTGAGCGACCAACAGCGGGAGGACGTCGTGACGCACTGGAAAGAGCACGCGAAGAACCTCACCGCGCTGTTCGAACAGCGCAAGAAGCTCACCGCGGACGCGCTCGTGCTTCAGGGCTCCTCCCCGGTGGCGACGTTGATCGATTTCCTGAGCATCGGCACGGGGTTGCTGAGCACGGACGACGAAGCCGCCGTCGTCGACCGCGGCGGGCAACAGAGCCTCACCGGGTTCGCGCAGCACGCGTGCAAGGTGGAGGGCGTGATCAACGCGCTGAGGCAGAGCATCGGCGCGGAGCAGATGCTGAACTTCTCGCTCGTGTCCACGGTGGTGACCAAAGTCTTGACGCCGTTGCAGACGTGTTTCGTCTGCGCGAGTTGGGACAGCGACGGGTGCCCGGACATGTTGGCGATATCTCGCGCGATCACGGTGCAGAGCATGGAAAAGTTACCGCATCTGCAGGGGGGGCGGTGAGAAGGAAGGACGCAGACACGGCCGCGATGAGAGAGAGAGAGATGTTCGCGAGTCGCTCTAGATTTGATTTCACGTGATAAAGGTACGAGACGACAGGAGCTCCTCCGCTTGCTCCTTCGTGCGCGCGAGGACGAGCATGAGCTCCCTCGCCGCCTGCGCTTTCTCCCGGGCGATCTCCGCGGCCGCGACCGCGGCGTGCCTCGCGGCGAACGCGCGGTCGCCCTTCGCCTTGGCCGCCGCGAGCGCGGACGCGGCCTCGGGCGTGAGCGCTTCGCCGTTCGCGTTCGTCTCCGCCATGGCCGCGCGCCTTCGCATCTCCCCTCCCAGTCCCAACGACGCGAGCGCGCGCTTGGCGCGCTGCGCGAGGCCCTCGTTCAGGAATCCGTCGTCGTCGTTCTCTCGTCCGCGCGCGCGGCGGATCCCCGTGATGTTCTTCGCCAGCGAGGCGCGCGCCTCCGCGGCGCGCGTCTCCGCGTCGCGTCTCCGACGCGACCGCCTCGTGGTCACGCCGGATGCGGACGCGACCGTCGCTTTGTCGAACCTGAGCTGCGCGGCGAGACGCTTCCGCGGCGGGAGGTTGTGAAGCGAAATGGACGGGAATCCCACCGCGGCGTTCATCGAGGTGGTCATCCTTCCGTCGTCCGCCGCGCGGAGAACTCTGAGGACGTCCCGTCGCGTCGTCGTCGCGAGCGACGCGCGGCGCGGAGACGAAGAGGCGTTCGTTCAAACCTGGATATGCCGACGTCAGCTCGCGCGTATCCAAACAAATCCACCACGCGTCCGCGCGTCTCCCGCCCTCCAGTCCGTCGACGCGGCTTCGCGACGCGAGAGCGATAGGACGCTCGGAAGGGTTCGATGACGCGTGAGGTTCGATCGACCGGCGCTCGCGGAGCCGTCGTCGCGCGTTCTTGTGCGGGCGCGGCCCGTTGCCGAGGTGTTCTCTTTTCCCCCGGGAAAGAAGAGAAAAATCTCCGCTCGCGCGCAGAATCCCGCGCGAACAGACTCGTTGCGCAAGATTACTTATTTCCTGAATTGGCTTGAACGGCTATGAACACCCGTAAAGTGAGGGATCAGCTGAAAGGCTGACCCACCCCTTGAAACCGCTGCACCTCTGGTCTAGTGGCAGAATATCTCCCTCCCACGGTGAAGACCCGGGTTCGATTCCCGGGAGGTGCATTTTTTTTTGCTTTCAACAGCGTTCTTTTTGCTTCCGCTTCGCACTCTCTCTGGCGCCGGTCCCTCCGCCCGCGCCCACTCCCTCTCACCACCGCTCTCCCGCGCGGATGTCGCGCCGCGAGAGCGACGCGTCCGCCAGCGCGAGCGACACCAGCGACGACGACGACGACGGCGGCATCTTGGCGACGATCAAGAATCAGATCAGAGCGGACGAGGAGAGATTCAAGCGCGAGGACGAGGTGATCCGGGCTCGCGGCGGACCCTCCCCGGCCGCCGCCGCGCCCGTCGCGCCGCGGCGGCAGATGACGACGGCGGCGACGCGGCACGTCGCGCCGCCGCAGCGGCGAGGAGGCACGCCGATCTCGGTCCCCGGTCGCGCGCCCAGCGCGAGGGCGAACCCGGCTCGAGCAGTGGGCACCTCGGTCGCCGGCGGCGTCCCGCCGCGTCCTGTCGCGGTTCGCGAGCCGTCGCGCGCGACGACGACGACGAGCGCGTCCGGGCTGGGACCCGCGGCGACGGCGCTGATGAAGGAGCTCGAGGACGTGCTCGCGGACGACGACGCGTTCAAGCCGAGACGCGCGACGACGGCGGCGGCGGCGGCGAAAGACGCCGCGCCGGAGCCGGAGTGGAGGGCGTCGATGTCGAGCGCGGCGGCGACCGCGAGGGAGATTACCAGGGGCGGGGAAGAGCTCAGGGAGAGGGTCGCCGCGGCGAGAGGCAAGGTGAACACGTTGAGCGGCAGCGCGGACCTGCTTCGGGAGATCGAGGCGATGACGAAGGAGCTCGGCGACGGCGTCGAGAGCTTTGGACGCGAGCTCAGAGAGGTCGCGAAGCTGAACGACGTTGACCTCGGCGACTGACCGACCGACGTCTGGTCGCGCGGTAGTATTCGTATAGATAGTATTAACTCTAGAGTAATATGATATGATAGCAGGCGCGAGCGCCGTCACGCGTCCTTCTTCTTCGCCCTCGTCGACGCAGCGGGGGCGTTCTTCTTCGCGTCGTCGTCGCCCCCCGCGGCCGTCTTCTTCTTCAACTTGAAGATGTTCGGGTGCAGCCCCAAGCACCCGGTGATCTGCGCCGCGAGCGCCGCGAACTGCGCGACGTACGCGACGACGCCCGCGGTCACCATCGCGAGCCCGATCATCGACGCGCGGTCGCCCGTGCTCGGCAGCAGCGACGCGCTCAGCGCGAGGATCGCGGACCACCGCCCCCAGAGCGGCGCCGTCTCCGGGTCGCTGACGCGCAGATGCATGAGGCGCACCATCGCGTCCCCGAACGCCACCGTGGACACCGCGTGCGCCCACGGCAAGTTCTGACACGTCACGATGCAGTACGTCAAGATGATCTCGAACACGAACATCGTGCCGTACATCTTCCCCGGGCGGCGAGACGCGGGGAGGTGCGGCGACGGCGGCGCGTTCACGGACTTGGCCAGCGTCTGTATTCGCGCGACGTACCCGATGCTACCTCCGACGAACAAAATCAACTGCCCCAACGCGCCGAGTTGCACGCCCGCGATGTTCACCGGGAGCCTCCACAGCGCGTTACCGTAGCACACGTTCCACAGCATCCCGAGCTGGGTCATCATCTGAAGCTCTTGCGCGTCCAGCGGCGCGACGTCGCGCACGCCGGTGTACGTGCACATCACGGTGTCGATCATGAACGTCAGCCTCGACGTCGTGATCATCCCGATCACGAACAGACGGTTCTCCGTCCAGCTCGCGCCGAAGGTGTCGCACAGAAATACGCCGTAGATGCAGGACACGAGCGCGTCCGCGCCGTGGTCGACGACCTCCCCGAGCGGGGACCCGCCTCCGGTGCGTCGCGCCTGATGCCCGTCCATCCCGTCGCAGGTTTGATAGATGAACAGGAGGACCACGCACGCGACGTAGACCCACGGCTCCGCGTCGCCGTTCAGGTCCGGGGAGTGATGCATCATCATCGCGTACGCGATGACCGCGCAGATTAAACCGGCGAACGTGATGAGGTTCGGCGCGAGCCATCGCGGGCACATCGGCACGAGGAGATCCCTCCACATCGGATGCAGGAACGCGGCTTCGCATATCGTGTCGTTCGGCGACGTGTACTTGTACGACCTGACCTGCGCGCATCGAACCGCGGACGCGCGCGCGTGCGGGCGACCGGGGTTCTTCTCCGCGCAGCACGGGGAGATGGTCCACATGACGAGCGCGCGGGCGTGGCGGCGGGCGAGGCGGCCGCGCGAGGGCGATTGATTTTCCTTCCAACGGTAAAGCGAGTGAGTGATGACCAGCAGGTGATGACTTGGCACCCGCCTCGCTGCTGTCTGGGCACTGCACGCAAGCTGTCCGCGTCCTCTGAGTCAGTGCCCAGTTTTTGAACGCCGGGGTGCCACTTCCGCGGAGACGGTCAGTCGCGCGCGCACAGCGGCCACCCGCACGCGTCGCGGTCGAGGGCGCGCGTCGCTCGCGACCGGGGGACCGCGTTTCGACCCTCTCGCGCGCGCGTCGCGTCCTTCCCGCGCGACGATCGCGCCTCGAACGCAGATCTCGAGACTCGCAAGATGGTCGAGCTCTCGCAGAAGAAGAGCAAGAAGCGCAAGGCCCCCGAGGGCGACGTCGAGGCCGCGCACGGGAACGGGACGATCATGAAGGTCAAGGTCACGAACTTCATGTGCCACCACAACCTCGAGGTCGACCTCGGGCCGAGGATAAACTTCATCGTCGGCGAGAACGGCAGCGGGAAGTCCGCGGTCCTGACCGCGATCTGCCTCGCCCTCGGCACGAAAGCGAAGAACACGAACCGAAGCGACAAGGGGATCAAAGGGTTCATTCGCGAGGGCGCGACCTTCGCGAAGCTCGAGGTTTCCATCCGCAACGTCGGCACGGACGCGTTCGAGGCGGACAACTACGGCGAGGTCATCACGATCGAGCGGACGATCAACGGGTCCGGGTCGACGTCGTTCAAGATCCGGAACCAGTGGGGGAAGGAGGTCGGGAACAGCAACCGGGACCATCTCCTGCGGATCACGGACCACTTCAACATCGACGTGGACAACCCGATCGTGGTGATGTCCCAAGACGCGTCGAGGCAGTTCCTTCACAGCGGCAAGGACACGGACAAGTACAAGTTTTTCGTGAAGGCGACGCTGCTCGAAGAGATTCAAAACAAGCTCGCGTACGTCAAGTCGCGCGTCAAGGAGATGGACGCCCTGATCAAGAACCAGGAGGCAGAGCTCCCGCGCGTGAAGCAAGAGATGGATAACCTTCAAGACGAGGCGGACTCGTTCAAGAAGATGGAGGAGTACGCCGCGAAGGCGGACGAGTTTAGGGACCGCCTCGCGTGGGCCGACGTCTTCGACGCGGAGAACACTCTCAGGCAACTCAACGAAGAGCTCGAAGCTTTGGAGGGGCACGGCGCGGACGAGTTGAAGAATAAGCACGAAGCGCAGAGGGCGCTCGTGGAGGAGAAGCAGCGCGAGCGCGAAGAAGCGGAGAAGGCGTTGTCCGACTTCACCGCGCGAGCGCGCGGGGCGGTGGACGCGAGGAAGGCCTTGGAGCGGAAGTGCCACGAACTCGAGCGACGGCTGGGTCACGCGGAGAGTGACCTGATAGGACGCAACAACGATGTCGTCGAATGTAAGCAAAGAATCCAGGGGCTGGAGCACGGGATCAAAGAGGCGCAGATGAGCGTCGCGCAGCAGTCGCAAGCGCAGGACGTGACGTTCCGCGCCGCGATCGACGACGCGGAGGAGAGGGTGAAGGCGATCGAGGACGAGAAGAGCGCGGTGATGCGGCACGGGCAGGAGCTGAGGGCGCGGATGGTCGACGCGGGCAGGGCGGAGAACGACGCGACGAGCGCGGTGCGCAATCAGGAACGCCTCGTGAACGACACGAAGGAGCAGCTGATGACCGCGGAAGGGGACGACGGGAACCTTCTCTCGCTCTTCGGAAGGGGCGTGCCGAGGCTCGTGCAGGAGATAAAGAGAAACGAGAGGATGTTTTCTCACCCGCCGATCGGGCCGATCGGGATTCACGTCAAGCTCAAGAACCAGAAGTGGGGTAAGGCTGTCGAGGAGCACATGGGTAAAATCTTCGAGTCGTACATCGTCGCGTCCATGAAGGACCGGGCCACGCTCGAGAAGTTGTTGAGGGAGTGTCAGGTGAATGCGACGGTTATCGTCACGAGTAAGTTTGGCCGAGGGAAGTACCAGATCCCCGCGAACAAGCTTCCCTCGTCCGCGCTGACGACGATGATGGACGTCATCGATATCGAGAACCCCACTGTGTTCAATGTCGCGGTGGATATGTCGGGCGTTGAAAGAGTCGTTGTCGTGCCAGACTACACAACCGCGACACAAGTCGCGTATCCGAAAACCGGCAAGAAGGACCCGAACATCAGCCAGGTGTATTCGTTTGATCACATTTTCTCGATGGGCAAAAGCGGCTTTACGCAGATGATCAAAGCCTTTACGCGTAAGGAGATGCCTAGTAGGATCGCGTCGGACAAGAAGGCGTGGATCAACGGAATGAAAGAGACGATCAAGCAGGCGAACAGCGAGCGCGGGGCGCTTCTGAAACGCGCGGACGAGGCGAGGAAGGAAAAGGCGAAAATCAAGACGCTCCTGGACAAAAACGCGAGAGAGTTCGACGACGTCCGCATGAAGCTCGACCACGCGAAGATCGCTCTCGATGACGCGAAGGCGGCCGCGCGCGACCGAGAGGACCCGACGGTGCTCGACGTCTCGAGGCTGGAAGACGATCTCGCGCTCGTGCGAAGCGAGCTCGACGTCGCGATGGGACACGTCGAGAGGACCACGGTCGCGAAGCAAACCGCGCAGGAGGCGCTGAAAGCCGGGCACGACGAGCTGAAGGCGGCGAAGGCGGCGTATAAGACGACCAACGAAGACGCCGAGAATTTCGAATTGAAATACACAGCCGCGGCGACGGCGCACAAACTCGCGGTGGAAAATCTCAACTACTACGTGGACAAGCTCGAGGTGCTTAACGATCGGGTCGAAGAAAAGAGGCTGATGATCGAACAGTACGCGCCGTTGATCCAGGACAAAATCACAGACGCCGAGGCGGTGTGCGCGCGATCGACCGCGGAGGGGTACCTCGCGGAGGGCGAGACCGAATACGACGTCGCGCAGCTCACGAAGCACTACGAGCGCGCGAAGAAGCAGATGGAACGCGAACGCGAGCGGCACGCGCGGCCGCAACAGGAGGTGTTGAAGCTCCTCGGACACGCGCTCAAGAACTACAATCGTCTGGAGTCGATGCTGAAGAACTCGAGGGACCCGTGCAAGCGCCTGAACGCGGGCGCGAAGCAGCGGCAGAAGATCCTCAAGGAGACGGCGCACGAGGTGAACAAGACGGTGTCGCACAGGTTCAACCACTACCTCTCGATGAAAGGGCACGCCGGGAAGGTCATCGTCGATTACACGACCGCGACGCTCACGCTCGACGTGAAGATGCACGGGCAAGGGCAGACGGTGAAAGACACGCGCGCGATGTCCGGCGGCGAGCGTTCGTTCTCCACGCTCGCGATGACGCTGTCGCTCGGGGAGTCCATCGAGAGCCCGTTTCGCGCGATGGACGAGTTCGACGTCTTCATGGACGCGGTGAACCGTAAGGTGTCCATGGACTCGCTCATCGACTTCGCACGGGACGACTTCAACAAAGACAAGCAGTTCCTGTTCATCACCCCGCAGGACATCAGCGCGGTGGACGCGTCCGCCGTCGACATCAAGGTGCAGAAGATGAAAGCCGCGCGGCCGTCGTGAGGCGCGCCGGCGCGAGCGAGCGGGGCGGGGAGAGAGAGGATGCCGTAGTTCACGATTGGTGTACGTCGCGACGGATGGACGACGACGACGATGATGACGACGATGAAGTCAGCGCGCGAGTTCTAAGAAGAGTTCTAATACAACGCACGCACGAAACGTTCACGCGCGCCAGCAGTCTTATGTCGTCTCGTCAGTCTATTATGTCATTCTCGTTTCTTCAGTGGCCGCCCTGGATCCATCCCGTCCTCGCTCGCGTCCGTGCCGTCATCGTCGTCGTCGGACATGATCATCACCCCCACCGGTCCTCCGTCGTCGACGCCGGCCATCCGCTTCACGTTCCTGTGCGCGCGAAGCATCGACCGGAGCTGTTTGAACATCCACCACGCGACGCACGCGAAGATCGCGCCGAAGATGAGCTCCTCGCCCTGGACGGAGATGTAGTCGCCCTCCTCCGGGTACGTCGGCGTGATCATCTTGCGCTGGTTGTACTTGTACGCGTCCGCCGCGCGTAACGACGACGACGACGTCCCATCGCCGCTCATCGCGGGCGACGTGTACGACTTGTCGTGCCGTGTGCGGCGAGATCTGTCTGGTGTCCGATCTGAACGGAAGGACAAAAATATTGTGCAGTCGCGTCATTCTCATCCGCGTCGCGCTCGGGCGCCATGAGCAAGAAGCGCACCCGCGCCAACCCGGATGAGGTTTCCATGCTAGAGGGCCCGCTAGACTACCGCGTCACGTTCTGCGCCGCGGAGACGTCCTCCGGTCGCGAGAACTTCGGTGCGTCGCGTCGCGAGCCCCGACCCGCGATCCGTCGTTCGCGCTTCCTCCCCGCGTCGCCCTCCTCCCCCAACCTCGCATCGTCGCGCTCACGTCCGTCCCCCGCGATCCTCGATCGCGCGCGCAGGGATCCGCGAAGACGATGTCGACGTAGTGTTCGACCCTAAGGTGCGCGACGCGCGCGCGGCGCGAACGTTGGGGTCGA